CATCGCGATTACCATTAAGTTTTGCCTCGTTAACTTTCATTCGATGCACGTTCGAGAGCCGCGCCGCGCCGCGCCACATCGTTGGAATCGACCGTTTGGGTTAAAAGTTGCGGCGGATGTGTAATTGAATTAAATACCGCGTTGAGCAATCAGAACTGCTCATAACGATCGCGTAACATCGTTCGCGTGCAAACGGTAGCTTCGGTAGATTGTGCGTTGATTGTCTGTCGCGAGGGTGGTGTCCTTGCTCGCGGGTGCAGAAAGACACCGTATAAAGATCCGATTCTGATTACCGGCAAATATGATTGTTACTCTGTTGCCCTAACAGATTGACGAGCGATACGCGATCTCGAGTTCGGCCCGAGTTCAGTCGACGAGTCAAATGCGCATTATATGCTTTAATGTTGATAAATAGTTACGGTAGCATCCGTAATTAAATCCGAGTTATTAAACGAGTGTATTTGTGCTACATATGAGCCGTTTATTTTGAAAGTGGCATAAGTCACTTTTTCAAAAAAAAATCGAGTTAATGGTAACACTAATTACAATTGAACGGTATCTTTTCATATTAGAAAAATTTGAAATCAATAAGTTGAGAACTATTGAGATTTGTTCGAGAGAAGTTTTGCTAATTAACGGTATAACAAACATGTTTATTTTGAAAGTGGCGTAAGTCGCTGTACTCAGGAAATTAATTGTAGGGCTTAGTGTAAAAGAAATAGAAACGTGTGATAAGTGTGTGTGAAGTATTGTTTTGAATTATTTTCAGTATTTTTAAAAAAGTTGTGATTACTGGACATGATGGACTTGCTTAATAATATATTCCCCCAATATATCACAGTTATTTAAAAAATTTGAAACAAAACACGATTTCCGAGGACTTAATCACTCCTATTGGTGGCGAAAATTAAATTGAACTGATGTATTTTCACATAAATTACTTATACTTATGTTTCAAAATGTACTAATTATTTTTGTATTTTATGAATATTAAAATTAAAAATACTTAAATCAAACCTTTATATTAAATATGTTCATGGTATAAATTATTATTATATATGTAATTTATTCAACAATTTTAGTAAATCACTGTCCTTTCAAAACATCGCTTCAGTAAAATACGTCGGACAAAATTAATATATGTCAGTCATTTTTCTAAACTATTTATTTTGAAAGTGGCTTAAGTCACTTTACCGTAATGAAAAGTGGTGATTTTTTAATGTTTATACGAAATTATTTATACTGAGAAAAATATCAGTATCCTGAGATAACAAATACAAGTAAATCTACTCGAAAGTTAGCATCCATATTTTTAAACGTGTTAAAACGCAAACCCTTAAA